ATTTGTCCTCGTTTGCACCATTCAGAGAAGCGATTCTGAACTGTGGCTTATTCTGGTCGTTCAGAGACGCGACTGTGAGCTGTTGATCATTGTGCTCACTCGAAGCTTCTTCCATAGGACTAACTTCCAGATTCGATAGACTCTGTAGATATGCACTGTCTCCATCTATAAATGGTGAATAAAATAAAATACTTACGATTAGAAACTAACCAGATGCAAAAAAAATTAATCTAGCGAAGGGTGATTGCATCATTCCAGGTGACATTTTTTCAACAAACCTTACTGATCCAATTAAACGAAACCCATATCCCTTCTCTGGAGCATGGCTTTTATTAGATTTGTTCATGCTAAAGCTACCAGTTTCACACCAAGAAAAGACCAGAAGTGACGAGCTGAAACTTGTCCCCTGATGAGAAATGATACAATCAAGTATAATAATGACAGCTATTTTACGCTCCTTCAATCATCACAAAGTGGATCGCCTGCTTTGATGGATTCTGCTTTGATGGATCGCCTCCAGTGTATATCGCATAAATCATATGTGGAGCCAGTAAGATTGATGATACTTCGCAGCTGTCGACAAACACTCTCAAACTGCTCATCTAGTTTAAAAAATGCAACCAACTCAAACTCACCAATTCCGTAGTGTTTATTCCAGTTCTTTACACACCCAGCTTTTACGGCTTCATCCGGAATCCCAAGCCATTCCGCTAACGGTTTCATCATTTTCATGCATTCAGTCAAGTACTGTTCTCCGCCTAAAAAGATCACTCACAATTACTCGAAAACTAACTAAAGAATATCAAAGGTTGCATTTAAGTGAACGCAATACTTACCTTTCGTCGATGCAACGCTAGCGATGAGAGCTACTGAACTGAGGAGAGCGATCTTGAACATATCGGACGGATCGTTGCAAAACTTCTGCTTGACTGAGTGTGCAGTACTGATTCGACGATCGCTTTTATGCACCCAACCAAAACCAGAAACCAAATTCATTCTCGATCGTACTGTCGGACTGACACGCCCAATCAGCGCGTTATCTGTGGGCGGCTGTGTTCAGTGATGGCAGGCAGTATAGCGACTAGGTGCGGTACAATTCTGTACTGAAGTGAGTAAATATTTTTATTTGACGTACTGAGTCGAATAATTCAATTTGATAATGGCCGTGGATATATAATACAATACAATATTTTAAAATACTAAAATGCAATCCTGGATACTGATAATCTTAACACACACACACGCCTTAATACACTTTGAAACTTTAATTAATATTTAAAGCGAGAAATTATAAAAAATGTAACGAACGCGTTAACGTTAAAGGGTATTTCAACAACTCCAACGGATTACTTGCTGAACTTCGTTCTACCAAAAATTCTGTATTGGTCTTATTGTTAGCAACACCGTCATCACACTACAACGATGTCCTTCTAACTTGATTATGTAACAAGATGAATAACCAACCCATGTTTCTGAAAATCCTTATTTGCACTGTTGTCCCTGACCTAAGTCGGGACTTCAAAAAATTAGAGTTAACTCATAATTGCTCCTCTGCACGGAAATCTTTAGTAAAAGGCGAAAGATTTTCTCGGTTTATGCAGAGGAACAAGAGATACCATGCCGTCGCTGCTCTTGCGCTCTACGTTGCATTAAAGCTATTGTTTATAGGGTTTGAATGGTTACAGCAGAGAAATCGAGAGAACATCTCACTTCTTCGGCAAATTTACGTCGGCAATCGCTCGAAGTAAGATCGAAGCGTTCATTGAAGCATTCATCGATGAATGAAGCAGTAGAATTTTATGGTATAGAAATGTCATAACGGTGAATAACTTAATGAACGAACTCATTTTCACCAATATTTGTGACCGTTCACCACTGATCTCCCTGATATTTTTACTGTGATCAGGAGTTTAGCAATGCCACAACCTTCAACTCGTCACGAATTGAATCTTGCGTCGTGCTCGGAGAAAAATTGTTTGAAATATTTTCAAGCGAGGTTTATGTCCAGTTCAAAATTTTGTATTCCCTAAGACGGGAATTCGACCGACTTTCCGAAGTCAAAATGTGAACTCGATCGGTTTCCGAACGAACAGAGATTTCATTCGAATTCCATCGCTAATTCATAGTTATAGGTCAATTTCAATTCGCGTCTTACCATTATGCGAATTTAGTGAATGCAATATTTTAGTAAAATAAATAGTAAAATGCAAAGCACGTTTACTTTCAACTTTACTCGGAATTTATTCGATCAGAATAACTTCACGTTGTTANCGTCTTACCATTATGCGAATTTAGTAAATGCAATATTCAAAGCACGTTTACTTTCAACTTTACTCGGAATTTATTCGATCAGAATAACTTCACGTTGTTAGCCGTCACGTATTTCTGACGGATGTTATAGGCAGATGATGCTTTGTTGCGCAATTATGGCTGCGATCTTTTTACATATCGCAGATTTGAGGGATTTCATTGTACCGTTCGTCTATCGTTACGTATTTGATCACTCTGTCGATCGTTGTTGAGAACATAATTTAACTGTGTAATTTTATTCGAACACCTTC